GAAAAAGCGTTGTCATATAAAATTGACCAAAGGAAAGCAGGAATGACTACAGTTATATCAAATAAAGTAGACTTTGGAGCAAAGAAAATTGCTAGAGCTAGAAAGGGATATTCTATAATGATAAAAGTATCCATCCACCAAGCAGACAGCAATCCAAGTTGTATGTGCACCGAACAATGGAGCTGAAAAATGCATAGAGCAAAGACTGACACAACTGAAAGAAGAAATAAGGCAAATCCATAATTAGAGTTGGAAACCTCAACACTCCTCTCTCAACAACCGGCAGAGTCACTAGACAGAAAACCAACAAGGGCGGAGCTCGACCACGTCATTAGCCAACAGGGTCCACTCAGCACTGACAGACACCCCATCTACAGCAGCAGAGCACACACTGCTTTCAAGGGCTCATGGAACACGTGCCACAGACCACATTCGGAGCCATAAAACACACATTAACAAATTAAAAAAATAGAAACTACATAGAGTGTGTTATCTGACTTCAGTGAAATCAAACTAGAAGTCCGCAACAGAAAGATATTAGAAAGCTCTACAAACACTGGACACTAAGCAACACTCTTGTAAATAATCTTAAAGTCAAAAAGGAACTCAAGGAAAATGAAAAAATAAATTGAACTAAGTAAAAATGAAAATACAGCATATCAAAATTGTGGAACGCAGCTAAAGCAGTGCTGAGAGGAAAATTCATAGCACGAAGCATACATCAGAAAAGAGAAAAGGTCTCAAGTCAATCAGCCAGGCCTCCACCTTAAGAACTTATAAAAAGAAGAGAGAAATAAACCCGAAACAAGCAGAAGGAAGAACATAATGAAGATAAGAACAGAAATCAATAAAATTGAAAACAGGAAGAAAACCAAATGCAGAGGTCAGAGGTTGCCAGTGTTGAGGAGAGAGATGACTACAGGAGGTGCAGCTTGTTCTGCATCATGGCTGCAGTGATGTCAGTGTCTGGCTGTGACATCCCACTACAGGACTGCATGGTTCTGCAAGATGCTACCACTGCGGGAAACTGGGTTAAGAGAACACGGGATCCCTGTGAGTGAGTTCTTACAACTGCACGTGACTTTGCAATGATCTCCCGATGCCTGTGTGGCCCATACCCATCAGCCTGCGATGTCCATTTCTCATGCCGCCTCCTTCATGGAGCCTTTCTGGATTTCTCCAGGGAAGTCATGTCCCATCCTTGAAACTCCCCTGACTCTCAGGGACTGAATGCTTGCCACCTTAGATTATAGAATGTGCATGTCCTAGCTTCTTTACCAGATGGTGAGCCCCTGAGGCCGAGGACACCTCCTGTTCCTCCCTGAGCCCAGCCCAGTCCTCCACACTTAGAAACAGAACTCCACAGTGTGGGACACAGTACCCAGAGCTTTCATCGGGTGCCAGGCTCTGTTCTACATATGCTTCACATACTAGCGCAGCTGATCGCCACCAGAACCCTGGGAGGTAGTCACTTTATTCTCATGTTACAAATGAAGAAGCGATGTCTCAGCTTAAACAACTTGCCTGGGTTACGCAGCTTGAAAGAGCAGACACCAGAACTTGAACCCAGTGGATCTGGCCCAAGTCCACTCTCCTAACGGCTGTGCTATCGTGGCTTCTCTTAGGCTCTCCTGGACGGAGCCTGCTGAGGGCTGGGCGAGACCAGGCTGTCTAGGGCCCGGGGGGGGGGCCCGAGGGAGGGCTGGTTCAGGGCAGCTGGAGGGCTGTGGACAGGCCTTCCCTCACCCCGAGGGGCAGAGTGGGCAGGGGCTTTTCAGAGTCGGCGCAGGCTGTGCAAAGCCCCATAGCTGCCCGGGCCAGCTGGCGACTCCCCGCTAAGCTGGTCTGGGCTTCCTTGTGGCCACACCAAGGGTGGCCACGCCCAGGGCAGCCACGTCTGGGGACAACCACAGAGGACAGCGGCTGGTCTGGAGCAGGAGACAGTGTGGGCCTCCCTCCATCATTACAGAGGGTCCTGAGGGCAAGACGGCACGGGGGTGTGAGTGAGAGACGGGGGTGGGGGGGACTGAAGCCCCATGGGAGGCTCTGTGCCAGCAAGAGCGGGTCCAGAGACAGGCAGGGCCGGGCTGCAGGCCGCCTACCCAGGTCACGTGCCCTCTTCCACGGTTTGCCTTGTTCCCCTCCCTTCCTCCCTCCCCTGGAAAGAGTGTGAACGTGGCACAGGTCACGGACACGTGCACACACACACACACACTCTCATCAGAAAGCAAACAGAAAACTCTCTGGGGAAAGCAGCCACATTCTGGGCCAGCCCCCGAGGCCTGTCTTGGCTGGATGTCCTCTGTCTGTCCGTCCTCTGGATCAGTCAGGGTGTCTGGCCGAGATAGAAAATTCCTGGGGGACAAGCCCTGTACACGTGTAATTCAATCTGCTCTCGACCAACGCAAGTAAACACTCAGACAGGGCTCCAAACAAAGTCTGACGATTGCCTTCCGAGGGGAGGGCCCATCTGTGGACACTCCCACGTTGACAGTGGGTTCCGGCGGCCTGGTCTGGGCTGCTGGGCTCACGGCGCCTGCCTCATCTGAAGGGAAAAGACGAGATGACACGGGGAGTGGCAGAGCAGGACAGTGGGGAGGAGCAGAAAGACACCAGCACGCCTCAGGGCACCACTGGAGCAGAGAGGAGCTCAGCATCTGGAAGAGCTAAACCCGGTGCCCTCCCTGCGCAGGCGAGGGGGGACGTCCCCCTGCCTCCCTTGACCCCTGCGAGGACTTGCTGGTCGTAGGTCAGACACGTTATCAATGTCCCCCTTTCACCAATGGCAACAGAGGCCAAGAGAAGTCAGCGCCCAGGCCTCGGGACTCCTGTCCCAGCCCGTCCTAACACACCTTGCTCTTGGGAGCTAAGAAGCCAGTTGGGACCTGCGGTCTTGGTCACCACAGAACCACCACGCAGCACCTTGCAGACCCCAGCCTGGAGCTGTCGGAACCCGCCCGCTCCCCCAGCCTCCTTACCGGCTCACCAAGGATCCCCTACTTTTCTCCCTTACCCTCGATCACACCCTCATCCACTCTCTCGTAAAGGCCTCTGCCTGCAAGGTGCTAGGTTAGCGTGCGGTGAGTGGACGACTGGACGAAGGTGGAATGAGCGATGCAGGGGCGAACGGACCGTCAGCGGCCCCTGGGGCTGCTGGGGGCACAGCAGGCGCTCCCCTCCCCACCGCCGGCTGGACCGGCTGTCCTCAGCACCGCCGGTGTTGTTCCCACTCAGACAGTTTGCAACCTTCCCACCGTGATAAACAGCCCGGCAGAGAACATTCCTGCAGCTAGATCTCTGTACACATTGATGATCACTTAACTTAGGATAAATTCCTATGTAATCCCACTTTAATAGTGGGATAAACAAAACCATATTAGGAAGGGAAATTTGCTGCAAAAGAGAAATGAAAGTTATAATAAGCGATTCGAGGCAAAACAGAAAGGCTGGCCAGGCCCCCAGTTCTCGACTGTGGGTAACTGAGCGGCCTCTGCAGTTGTAGTCTTGGGGCTCCATAGCCAGAGGCCAACAGCCCTCACCCCGCTGCCCCTCTCTGTCTGGGCCTGGCCCCTCGGCTGTGCTGCAAAACTCCCCAGCAGGGCCAGCACCCCCCTGCAACCCCTGCCCCAAGCCAGAGCAGAAAGGTGCCCAGTGGACACAGACACAGACAGATGCTCTGTAGCAGGCGAGCTGGACGGGGCACAGCAGAGTGGGGGAGGGAGCGGTCCATCTGCACCCACTACGCAGGGGATTCCACACCGGGAGCCCCGCCAGCACGACCACTCCCATCGCCCAGCACCATCTTCACGTTCCTGGTGAAGACCAGGCTCCAGGATGTGGCCCAGCGCCCCCAGAGCCCTGCCGGGCTGAGCACTGTGAGCCTGCATGGCTCAGTGTGTGCTGACAGCGGCTGCCACTGGGCCGCTGCCACCAGGCCTGGCAGGGACAGAGCAGTCCCGGGCACTTCCACCCTGACGGGGTGGGTGGACG